GCCAGACTAAATCTGACTGTTACTGACTTTACTTGAACTTCAGCAGGTCAATGTGGTAGAGAAAGAAAAGTCCAGCATGGAGAGGGTTTTACCTGAACTATTAGATTACAAACAGCAACCTGTGTGCAGTACTGCCTGTTAATTCTGTGTCCCTGTTCAGTCCCCTCCATCACGCTGGGGAGGTCTGTTTCGCATCTTCCTTGTCCTCAAATCTCCATATTCTTTTTCCTCATTGCCAGCTGTTAATATTTCTCCTAATTTCATCTGGGAAAATAGCAACTCTTTAAAAAGACCTTCCTACTACTGCTGTCATTAAATGTACCCACTGGTACTTTTACACCAGGGTGAGCATGAATTACACCAGGTGAGCCTTCTTTGGGGAAGGTTCCCTTTTGGGGTGGCCCACCAAGACTGCCCTGTTGTTAGACCTACTCTCTCTCGAAGCATCTTTGTTTTCTTCTTCCTGTGTTCCTTTCTATTCAACGGAAATTGTTGGCCGGCGCCGCGGCTCACTAGGCTAACGCGGCTCACTAGGCTAACCCTCCGCCTTGCGGCGCCGGCACACTAGGTTCTAGTCCCAGTCGGGGCTCCAGATTCTGTCCCGGTTGCCCCTCTTCCAGGCCAGCTCTCTGCTGTGGCCCGGGAGTGCAGTGGAGGATGGCCCAAGTGCTTGGGTCCTGCACCCGCCTTGGAGACCAGGGTAAGCACCTGGCTCCTGCCATCGGATCAGCGCAGTGCGCCGGCCGCAGTGTGACGGCCGCGGCGGCCATTGGAGGGTGAACCAGCTGCAAAAGGAAGACCTTTCTCTCTGTCTCTCTCTCTCACTGTCCACTCTGCTTGTCAAAAAAAAAAAAAAAAAAAAAAAAGTTGCTTATTTCCATGTAGGTATGGTTTCATTTGTCCAGTGGGCTAAAGAAATTCTCCTTGAAAAAAAGTTGCCTTTGCCTGCTTTATCAGATTGTTTGCTTCCTTCTCTTTATTGAACTCATTTCAGTAACACTTTTGATTCAGTACCCCCAGTTAATTCACTCATCACAGTCATCATAGATCTGATCAGGTCGCAGTCTTCATCTTGGTCGGCCTCGCATTAGCACTGGACCAGGCAGATCGCTTCCTCTCCCTGTGTCACACTGCACTCTCCTGGGTTTTCCTTCCCTTGCTAAGTCACCCCTTTGCTGGATCATCTTCCTCTTCTCACCTCTAGAGGGTGAAGTGCCCACATCTCAGTTCCCAAACCTCCCCTCTCTCTCTCCCTCCTTCTCTCCCTTCCTTCTCTTTCTCGCTCTTTCCCCTTTTTCTCCTGTTTTAACTTTGTTTTTATGTTATGTATATGTTTAATATTTATGTGTTTTTGTTTATTTGGGAGAGAGAGAAACAGCTGAAAGAGTGCAGTGAGCGAGCTCTCATCTGCTGGTTCATTCTCTGAATGCCCACAGTGGCCCAAGCTGGGCCAGGTCCGAAACCAAGAGCCAGGCTCATAGTCCAGGTCCCCAGCATGTGGGCGGCGAGGACCCAGTTACTTGGGCCAGCACTGCTGCATCCTGAGGTCTGTGTTGGTAGGAAGCTGGACTCAGGAACCCAAGCTAGGAATCCAATCCAGGCAGGCACTCTGATGTGAGGTGTGGTTGTCTTAACCACTAGACTAAAAGTCTGCTCCTCTGTCCATCCTTTTAAGGGAATTTCACTGAAGCTCATGGTTTTCAAGACCAACTTCATGCTGACTTCCAAGTTTGTATTGCCACTCAAACTTCTCTTCTGAACTCTGGAGTCCTGTATTGCCTACTTGATCTGTCCACAGGGATAGCCTGTGGACTTCTCAAAGTTGTTATTCCCTGGAAACAGTCTTTGATGTCTCCTCCAAACCTGCTGCTCCCTAAGTGTTCCTCTCCCAAGGAGATGAAACTGCCAGTTATGTGGTTGCTTGGCCCCCATCGTTTCTCCCCCACCCCCAATTTGGTTCATTCTTGGTTCCCTTCTTTCTTTCCAACAAAAAAACATTAATAGGTAGGTCATTTCTGTCACCTCAGACTTTAAAACATATCCAGAATCCTGCTGCTTCTGAGTTTTTTCTCCTACAGATGTCTTAGACCAAACTCTTCTAACGTGAAGCATTGCAATATTCTCAAAAATACTCCATCGTTTTCCTTGTAGTTCCTTGAAGTCTGCACACGCAGATGGAATGTCACTTCTGAGATGGCAACTAAAGTGTCCGTCACAAAGCCCTCCCTCCAGTGGCCTTCCCTCACAATCGGAATGAAGTCCAGTTCCTGTGACATGGCAGCTGGTCACTCAGTGGGCACAGGTGACTTCCTGCTTTTCTCCCCGGGGGCTTTCCCATCTCCTTGATTTGCCTTGGTTTTTCTTCCCCCAGGGAGTCACAATTTCACTCCTTTACTTTGTTGTGCTCAAAATTCGTCTTTCTCAGAGCCCTTTCCTAACCACCTATGTAAGACAGAAACTCACCCATCCCTGTCATTCTTTATCCTCCACAAAATACAGAAAAGTTGCATATTGACATTTTGAAGATAGTAGTGTATGTTGCTGGTCTGGTTCCTCAGGAGCTGGGAGCGGGCTGTCTCCCAGTGCTTTTCCCAGTCTATGAAGCAGGGAGCTGTATCAGAAGTGGAGCAGCCTGGACACAAACTGGTGCCCATATGGGATGCCTGCATGGCAAGTGGCAGTGTTACCCAATACACCACAACACTGGCCCTTACTACTTATTTTAGTGGACATAATTGTTCCTGTGATTTGACAGGTCAGTTTGTGGGTTTTTTTTCCTTAAATTCTCATTGACAAGTATTTCCTGCCTTTAAAAAATATAAGCACTATTCGGTATCTTCTTTTTGGCATTTATTTTTTCTAAAGGGATTGTTTTCATGTTCTAAAGTAATTAATCTGAAAATGTTCAGTTTCATGTCGGTAGAAAAGAACAATTTATGATCTTCCTTTGAGGATAAGATGAGCATTAACACTATAAGACACACAGTGAACTTAGGTGAGATTAATGTGCACTATTATAATCTGCTTTCCTTGAGAGTATTTACTAAGTGATTTGAACGTGTGGTATAGTGAGTTTAGCAATTTTAATATAATTCAGTTTCTTCTGAATATGTGCTTGTGTAAGTTGACTTTCTTGTCCCTTTTTATTAAACTCCTGTTCATGTCTAGTCCTCAAAAAATGGTCTTTTTTTTTAAATTGGGAGCATGGCTCCCCTTCACTTATTTTTATTTATGTGAAAGGCTGAAAGACAGTGAGAGGCGAGTAAGAGTGTTGGTCTTCTGTCTGCTGATTCACTCCCCAAATGCCCACAATGGCCTGGGCTGGGCCAGACCTGGTCTCCCATGTGACCCTCACCTGCTGCCCCCAGGGTCTGTATTAGCCAGTAAATGGGAATTGGGAGCAAAACCAGGACTGGAACTCGGGTACTCCCATGAGGAATGTGGGCCTTATTTACTGTGCTGAATGCTTACCCCAAGAAACATTCTTACACGTGTGTGACAGCCAGTTCATTGCCATGCAGCAAAGACAGGTCACTGTTGGAGTGCTTTAACGCAAATTCACTAACTAGTTCCGCGAGTCGGTTTGCCTGCCCTCGGTTTTATCATCTTTTTTGAAGCTGTTCATTCCCAATGTAGAGAGCACTGCAGAAAGCAGTAACTATGGAAGAAAGTCTTGTTTACCTTTGGACAGATTAAAGATTTAAGATACCCAGAGGAGCCTCGTGTGGAACCAAGACCAGGCAAATAGTTTTTGAGCTTGACAAAATTCATCCTCGTTTCACTTCATTTTCCCATCTCTCCTGTCTCAAGTCCTCCCCCAAGTATCCATTCCCAGATAGGCTTCGGCTCCAACTCCCCCCCAGATCTGTTCTTACTCCCAGAGTGCCCATGAACGGAAGCCACTGACTTCCTTTCCTTGCCATTTGCTGAAAATTGGCAGTGGTGTTTAGGTGGAAAGGTGTTCGGAAGAAAAGCCGTTTGCCTGAATTCTGTCTGCAAGCTGAGGTGGGCTGGCCCTTCCTGTGAGTGTCCTCATCTTTGACCGCACTTCCGGCTTGACTGTGGGTGAATCCTGTAGGTCTGTGTTGAATAGTTTTAATGTCATTGCCATCTGATGTTGACCAGAAGCCCATCCCTGAAAACACAATACTCAGTAGATTGTTTAAAGGGCACCAGTTCCATTCACTTCTGAAACTCCGGAGGCCTAGTGCCTGGTGGCAAGTGCTTTGGAGTTCCACAGGTCTGGATTCGGAGCCTGGATTCTGCTGCCTACAATTTAGCCAGGTCACGCCGTGCTCAACCCTGTGATGGATGCTAACAGTCTTCCTAATTGTTCTGAGGGTGGAAGGAATAACGCTCGCTGAGTACCTGCATCAGTGAGCATGAGCTCAACTGTTAGTTTTTTGTTGTTATTACTTTGCTTGAGTTAAGCCAAATCTGTAAGGCATCCACAGTCTTGAGCATGCTGCTCTCCCCTCCAGCCGCATGGTGCCTTGCTGCCTGTTGCTGTGCTGGGAGACCAGGACCTCCCACTGAAGGTCAGTCTCGAGCTTACGCAGGCCAGTGCATTTACTGTCAGGATGTCGTCAGGAGAGCTGCTTGGGCCTTTACACAGTGCTCCGTTGTCTGGGCCTCCAGGAGAATTCAGTGTCTGCTGTTACCGCCAGGCGGAGTCTTCCCGCTTCTGAGCGTTTGGTTTATTTTAAGCTTATGGCCAGTAAATTATATAACTGACCGAGTTTCCCTTTTTGAGTTGGCTGCTAGAAAGCTTAGAGCCAAGTATATGGCTCATTTTTAAGAAATGTATTGATTTGTATGGGATATATTTCAAGCCTCATTTCCGCCTCTAGTTTTTGGTCCCCAAATTCATGACTCCCTTCTTTTTAATTCCTTTTTATTTCATGCTACTAAATATTATTTTTAAATTTATTCTTACAAATTAAATTATTTTTGAAACTAAATGGGAAATGGATTAAGAGCTATAAGTAGATAAAATAATGTTTTAAATAATTTATTATAGCATCTGTATTTGAAGGATGCTTAATTTTTTTAAAGGTTTATTATTTACTTTAAAGGTAGAGCTATAGAGAGGCAGAGAGAGAGAGAGAGAGTTAGATCTTCCATCTGCTGGTTCACTCACCAAATGGCAGCGTCGGCTGGAGCTGCACTGATCCAAAGCCAGGAGTCTGGAGCCTCCTCCAGGTCTCCCATGCGGGTGCAGGGGCCCAAGCACTTGGGCCATCTTCTGCTGCTTCCCCAGGCCATAGCAGAGAGCTGGATCAGAAGTGGAGCAGCCAGGACCTGAACTGGTGCCCATATGGGATGCCAGCCCTGCAGGCGGCGGCTTCACCGGCTGCGCCACAGCCCAGGACCCTAGGTTTTTTAAGAAGATATTTGTGATGTGAATTTTCCAGTAGGTGGAATTTCAGATGTAGCAACAATGGAAAAGGAAAATAATCCAGAGGTAGGAATGTTTTGTAGAAAGACAGGATGATTTGGGGGGAAACTTCTAGAAGGTGAACTTCTGAAAGCGAGATAGTGACTAAGGCTCAGGGTGGAAAACATCTGTTGTATGGTTAGGTTGGTTAACTAAGCCATCATGTGCTCCTCCAGGACAGCTTATCACGATACTTTTTATCTGTTGTAGAGGAGACAGGACGGTGTTTAAAGGCTAAAGATTCAGGAGTCAAACTTCTTAAGTAGAAATCCTGACTCCGCCATTGCGTTCGCAATTCACTTCACAGTGCCTTGATTTCTTTTATTTTTTTTTATTTAAAGTGGAGATAAAAGTTTTACTTGGAGCTCCTGAGAATCAAAGGATGATCTGTGTGAAGAGCTGAGAATATTATAGCGACTGGAATTTAGGAGTCAGTACATCTACTACTATTCTTCATCTTTGCCACTCATCATTTATATAGGTAGAAATAGGTACAGATATGTCATAGAATTCCACAATCTGTCGGGACTGTTTCAAGGCAAATTCAGAGAAAATACATGTTTCTCCTTCTTAGTGTTTCCAAACAAAGAGAAAAATCAAAATAGCTGCTGGGAAACACTTTATCCTGGTGCCATCATAGATTGGTTCAGGAAATGTGACATTATGAATAATGTGCCTTGCCTTTTTGCACTCAGGGAATGGTGTTCTCTTCCTTATATACATATTGCATTTCCGTACAGTTACAATGAACGCATGGAGTGGTTGAATAGGGGGGCCTGGAAGATTTTACCACATGAATGCCCTTGGCCTTTTCCCTTTGTCTGCTCAGGGCTTCTCCTTCCATCAGCATCTAAGTATGTCCCCCGCATTGGCCACTACGTAGTACCAGGCTTAAAGTTCTAGTAGAGAAAGATTGGGCTAAAAATGTGGAATAACAGGGAGTAGAGGTTTTGTTTTCCGACTCTGCTTGTTCAGAATTTGAGTGAAATGAGATCAATTGAAAGGAAATAAACAGCTACAGAAACTCAGCAAATCAACCCTGTTGGGGACTGGGGGGGTGTGTGCATGTGGAGAAGCAAGCCAGGAAGCTGAGCACCTGGGAGAGGTCCTTCTGATGTTTTCCCTTGTGCTGGAAAGTGGAGGCTGGCTTTCAGGGGCCTTTCGGGAATGAGCGAGGGGGGAGGAAAGAAGGGATTATTGGGAAGTGTCGCTGTGGGTTCTAGGGTTCTTTGAGCTATACAGTTATGTATTTGATTTTACCTGACTAGTTTTGATGCTGCATTGCACTTACTTCAGCGTGACAGCAGTAATAGAACCAGGGTTTATTAGGATTACATAGTGCTTTAGCAGTCTCGAATGCACGGTGTGATGTCTAACTACAACACCTACTACGTTTTAAACTAGCCATGACGACGTGAACACATTGTGTGGTTATTGGTAACTTCACAAGTATGACTTCTTCTCCCCTGCTGGCATTGATGTGGTTGTGTTGTTTACTTCTGCTGCTCTCTGTATAGAGGTAGTGAACAGACAAACGATGGCACTCTTATTACTCAGAAGCAATGCTTCAATGTTGTTCCAAAGACCCAAACCAACAGGGGCCAGCTTGGTGGTGCAGCCAGGTAAGCCACTGCCTGCACTGTCAGCTTCCCTGAGTGCTGTTCAAGTCCTGACCTCTCCACTTCTCATCCAGCTCCCTGCTAATGTGGCTGAGGGGCAGTGAAGGATGGCCTGAGTACTTGGGCCCTTCCCACTTATGTGGGAGACCTGGATGGGGTTCCAGGCTCCTGGCCTCAGCCATGGCAGCTATCTGGGGAGTGAGCCAATGGATGGAACATCTCTCTCAGTATCTGTGACTTGCTGTCTGTCTGTCAGCTCCCTCCCTGGTCATTCTACCTTTCAGGTAGGTAGGTAGGTAGATCTGTCCTCAATCAAACAAATCATAGTATATAAAAAGCAAACCCAATGTGGTGAGAAATAAATGGCAATTTAGAGAAAAAAAGATGATCAGTTCTATAGAATCTGGGATAACATAGTGGGTTTTTACAAAACTTTTAAATTTATTTGAGAGAGACAGAGACAGACACCGTTAGAGTACTTGCCTGCTGGTTCACTCCCCATGTAACGGTGTTGGCCAGGGCTGGGCTGGGACCAAAGCCAGGAGGCCAGAACACAATCCACGTCTCACACATGGGTCGCAGCAATTACTGGAGCCATCCCTGCTCCCTCCCAGGTTCTGCATTAGCAGGAAGCTGGCGACAGGAACTGGAGCCAGGAATCAAAACCGGGCACTCCGAGTTAGGGCATGGACATCTTAACCACTCGGCTAACCACCTCCCTTACTGTGGTGGTTTTTGATGGCTAAAAAGTAGAGTTCAGTGGAAGATACAAGGGGCCAGGTAGAGTTTTAGTTCAGGATCCTGAGGAGAGGAATGAGATTAGGACCAAGAATAGAAGCAAATTTGAACAAACATGAGCAGAAAGGTCCATCATGCACTGCTATTGGAGATGGATCTTCAGAAAAGCCTGGAAATATCCAGAAATGGGACTTTGGGAATGTGTATCTTTTACATTGGGTTTCATTTTTCTGTTTTTTTTTTTTTTTTTGCATTTATCTCTTTTAATTCCTAAATATCTCCCAGATTCATCCACTTCTCTCCCCTTCCGCCTCCAGCTCCTTAGCTAAGATGTTGTCTTTTACTTGGATAACGCAGCAGCTTCTTAGCTGGTCTCCTGCTTCCTCTCCAGCTGACTGGGATCTAGCCCAGCTCTCCTGCCAGGGTACAGGGCAAATGGTACCCATCCGACCCTACCGTGCCTCTTGGCTGTCTGAGTGGAGTCCCACTGCTCTGACTATAAAGATAAAGATGCCCTTCAGGGTCCTCAGGACTGGTTGATCACCTGCCTCTAACCTCCTCTCTCTCTGTCCTTCAGCTGCTTTAAACACTGCTCTCTTTGGCTCTCTCTTTGGCCCTAAGACCTTTGTAAAGAACTTCCCTTCTGCTGGGAGTGGCTGCTGCACTCCTCTTCCCACCTCATCTCCCCTGTGTTTGGTTAACTCCTCCCCCCAGGCGCCTCAGCTTCCCCAGAGAAGTGTTCTCTGATCCGTGTCATTCCAGAAGATGTATGCGTGCTCGTCATTTTCATAGTATCTCTACTTCCATTCAGAGAACTTACCAGCCTATAATCACATGTTTATGTGATCCTTGGATTCAAATTCTCTTGCTCCCTGGATTTTCCAGCCCTCTGTAATCAAGGATGTTGGTTATTTTATTTACCCTTTTTATTGCTGGTGTCCAACAGAGACGTGCACGGTGAAAATCAATTGACAGGGACTGTTGACTGCGTGGATGAATACTGGTCCATTTTTCACTTATATTGAGAATAGTGAAGATGGTTTTGGTGCATTTAAGAATGCCAGGCTCTGAACGGTTGCGGCTCAGCAGCATACTAGGCAGGTGGAGCACCGTGGGTCTATGTGCTGCGTGTCTCTGAGGAGAGACACCTCTTTCCTGAAGCCACAGCCACAAGGAGAGCCCTTGGCACATGGGAGGCATCAGCTCTGGCTAGTAACCTCCAGTTCCAGCACACAAGGCTTTGGATACCTGGCTTTAGCCCTCATTTTCAGAGTTTCCTTCACTGAGGAAGCACTTCATCCAGTTTTTTTAAAAAGTATGTATTTATTTGAAAGGCAGAGTTATGGAGAGACTGGGTGAGACAGACGGACACACACACAGAGATTAATCTTCCATCTGATGGTTCACTCTGCAAATGGCCACAATGGACAGGGCTGGGCCAGGCAGAAGCCAGGAGCCAAGAGCTTCATCTGGATCTCCCATATGGATGACAAGGGTCCAAGCACTTGGGCCATCATCCACTGCTTTTCCCAGACTATTAGCAGGGAGCTGGATCTGAAGAGGAGCAGCTGAGACATGAACCAGCACTCTCTGGGATGTCAGTGTTGCAGGTGGTAGCTTTACCTGCTACACCACAGTGCTGGCTCCTATCCAATGTTGAGCATTTGCTGTGAACTTTAACCTTCCTCGCTAATAGTGACGTAGAAAGTGAACAGTAAAGAAACCTTAATTCTCCCACTTCATAAAAACTTATCCAGGAATAAATTTTAGATTTTTTAAAAAGTATCTGTCATTGGTGTCACATATATTTATCTGTAGTGTTTTAATTGCTTGCCCTTAATATTTACTTCTCCTTGTCACTTTTTGACATTTTACTCTTAATATATCTCATCTTTTTGTTATACAAAATAGCTAATTTAACAATTCATTAGGTTTGCAATTTAGCTACATGATCCCAGCAGTTAGTTTTATTGACTTTATTTGATTTGACTTTAGTAGATTAGATAGACATTTACTGCGGATAAGTACAGAAGCTCAAAAGCTTCAGATTTCTCACTCACCCTGAACTGTTGGCCAGTTTTCTTAGACCACATAGTTGGGGGGTTTCTTTTCCAAGTTCTTAGTGAAGCAACAGGTATTTCCTCAGTGAAAAGCTGGAATGGTGTTGTGGGTCCTCCCAGGTGAGGTGTGAGTGTCGCTGTGGTGGTCTGGGCACAGCACTGTGTCCTGGGCTCCTGACCCTTCCCTTCCACTCTTGAGCAGTTCTTGGCGCTCCCATGCCCCTACCTCCTCTGCAGTTTTGGAGTCTGTCAATTAATTATTCATTCCAGAAACACTTTGAGGTGCTTTTAAAATACAGAGTTAGCTTCTAAAACTGAGGTCAAAGTAAACGTGACTTAATAGCACGGAAGTTTCCTTCTCCTTCATGCTGTGGTCCCAGTGGAGGTGAGTACCCTGGTAGGAACTGGGGGGCAGCTCCTGGTCCCAGGGACTCCGGTGTTTCCCATCTTGTGGCTTCATTCTCTTGAATGTGCAGCTTTCTTTGCGTGGACAGTGGTTGATGCAGCACTCAGCGGGGTACTTCCAGGCCAAGCAGAACTAGGAAAAGCAGAAGGGGCAGGCACACTCCTTTCCCACTCAAGGATATGATGTGAGTGTTGCTATGTGACATTTCAGCTTTGTCACTTGACCGCAGTTAACCTGGCTACCCAGTTTGCAAGGGAGGCTGGGATATTTGTCCCAGTGCAACAGCCATACATTCATATCTATTACTAAAGAGAAAGTAAAGAGTGGGTCACAAGATGACAACTGCAAGTCTTTGTTTTTTTATTTTTAAGATTTATTTATTTTACTTGAAAGTCACAGTTACACACATGGCGGAGGGGAAGGAGAGGGAAGCAGAGAGAGAGGTCTTCCATCCATTGGTTCACTCCCCAATTGGCCGCAACGGCCGGACCTGAGCCCATCCGAAGCCAGGAGCTTCTTCCAAGTCTCCCACATGGGTGCAGGGGCCCAAGGACCTGGACCATCTTCTACTGCTTTCCCAGGCCGTAGCAGAGAGCTGGATCAGAAGTGGAGCAGCCGGGTCTCGAACCAGCACCCGTATGGGATGCCGGCACTGCAGGCAGCAGCTTTACCCGCTACGCCGTAGTGCCAGCCCCTGTTGTTTTTCTATATGTCAGTTACTATGCTAAGTGCTAGGGATGCAGAGATGAAGTAGGGCTGGCTTTGGGGAAGAACTCAGCTGAGTTCAGAGTCTTTGTGTGTATCCTGGGTGTCTGAATAGAAGCATGAATATTTCATCTGTGTACATTCTTCTTGTACATTCTAAATAATTATTTTTTGTGCGAACCTCTGTGCCTTTGCATTCACTGCCCCATTGCCTAGGGCTCTCTCTTCCCCCATTTTCCACTGAATGCAATTTTACTCATCCTGGAAAGGCCAGCCCAAGTGCCCCTATTTCTGTGAAACCTGTAGTGTCCTTCCAGGGATAGTTGGGAGATGTTTCCTGGTATTCCCATTTGCACATAAACACAGTGTCATCTTGCCTCTGTTATAAGTGCCTAGACTCATACATGACTGAACTGTACTCAGTTCATTTCCCTAGCACCTTAGCACAGTGATGAGCAAATGGAAGGTGCTCTGTAGATGTTTGCCAAATCAAATTAGCTACTGCTTGGCATTCTTTCATGGATTCTTGAATGGGTGGGTGGAATCTCTGATGAACAGGGAAATCTCTCTCATTATGTATAAAAATATCATAGCCAATAAAAAGGTGAATTGCAACTCAAATTCAGCATCATAGAAGAGATCATTTCCCCAGTGTTTTCATCCTGTTCTAACTTTATTTTTAGTCTTTATTTCTCTTCAGTTACTCTGTTAAATGTGTAGTGATTGAGGTGAGGAAGGGGCCTTAAAATTTGAATTTGAATTATATGTTCTGTTATATTACTTATATTCCTCACCAAGGTCTCTTTAAAAAGTCAAATTGAAATTCTACCTAATAGAAATATATCTTGTATGGTCCAGAAAATGTTGAGTTTTTTCTAAACTCACTTCAGAATCCAACCTGTAGCATAATCCAGAAATTCCCTTTTACTCTGGGTTTCTAATTTAATCATAAAAATATCTTTCTGTCAATTTGTAGTCTATTTCCTTTTAGTCTTTCAAGTATATAGAGGATTAATTAGCATATGATGAAGACATAGAATTTTCATAGACTTTGAATCTCATAAATTATGAGGTCTTACGCTGTTGCTTATTATTATTATTTTTTGACAGGCAGAGTGGACAGTGAGAGAGAGACAGAGGGAAAGGTCTTCCTTTACCGTTGGTTCACCCTCCAATGGCTGCTGCAGCCACCACGCTGTGGCCAGCACACCGTACTGATCCGAAGCCAGGAGCCAGTTGCTTCCCCTGGTTTCCCATGGGGTGCAGGGCCCAAGTACTTGGGCCATCCTCCACTGCACTTCTGGGCCACAGCAGAGAGCTGGACTGGAAGAGGGGCAACCGGGACAGAATCTGGCTCCCCGACCGGGACTAGGACCCAGTGTGCCGGCACCACAGGCAGAGGATTAGCCTAGTGAGCCACGGCACCGGTCACGCTGTTGCTTATTTTAATGATAGACAAAACATATAAACAAGTTCTGCCTGTTACTTATTGGTTAAATGAGAAGACTGTGCTAACACAAGAATTGTTTTCTGTCCTAATGGACTCTTAGGTTAATAATAATTACTATTATTATAATTACATTGTTCTGTTGAATTATAGGTTTTAAGAAAACATTGGTGAAGTGTTGAGAATGAATAGATTTCCATTTTCCATGGGCCTGAAGAGCATAATGATGGTTCTGATCCGTAATATGAAATAATTAATGTGCCTCCTTCAGTGGCAACAATCTAGAGAGTGGCTTGGGTGTGCCTGGAGTGGATTAGGATCAATAACTGTGGCTCACTGAATCATTGCTTATTCGAATGGTTGATATCATACAAATGAATAGCTGAATCCCCAAGTGCGTTCATCATTTCTCTCTCTTGGGTGTGACATGCACAAGGCTGTTTAGCGAGAGTGTCAGGACCAGCTCAGTCTCTGAAAACTGTGTCTTTAGGGAAGGCTGTACGTCATAGCTCACAGGGAGTATTAACTTGGCAGCTCTGGCTTGAAAGGTAGCCTTATTTAGTTTCTTGTGTCTAAATCATAGGTGATACGGTCTCTTATTAATTAATTATGTCTGCTTGGTGTGCCTGCCAGGGTTATGTTTATGTAGCCTGCTTTAATGTAGAAAATGAATATTTGGCAGTGAGCACAAGAAACCCCGCAGCCGCAGTGGTGGCTGAGTCAGGTCCCGAGGCCACTCCAGGGATGCCTCCTGTAGTCCCTGTGAAACGCGTGCTGCAGGACAAAGCCTCTGACAGTCTGGACGGTGCTTCTGTGGTCCTAGGAATCCACAGTGGATTCAAGTCTAGACTCCGCAGTTTTTCAGGGGAAGGGGAGGAGGGAGAAACAGCAAATCAGCTCTGCCCAAAGGGTTTCCAGAGGCATCATTGAATCCTGGATGCTGTTGCCAGTCTGTGCCTTGCGAGGGAGGCAGGCAGAGCCGAGCAGCAGCGGGAGCAGCGGCGTTCACGGGAAGCAGTCACATAAACAGCAGCAGGAGTAGGCGAAATGCAAGACTGTCTGATGTTTGACAATCTCCCTGGTTGAGAATGGCTCCTGTAAAAACGTTGCCAAGGAATCCTGACGAATTGGACAGTCCTCACTGGGTGTTAGCAGTAGTTACTTCAGGAGAATAAATGCTGCTTTCAGTAGATTCTTGCCAAGAGGCAACCCCCCTGAAGAAGAGGAGCTCAAATTACCTGGAAACAAAGACCCACAGGGGGGACCAAAGTTTTGGCATGCCCACAGGAATGGTGGTGTGGGTAGAAACTACCTAGGAGGCAGAAGCTAAGTGTTGATTTGCCCATGCCTCGTACCTGGGAGTGGAAGGTGGGAAGAAATGGACAGTGGCCGTGACGAGAAGACGAGGCACAGTGCAGCTCGGTGAGGCCACGCGCTGACTGCCTTCTGCCCCCTCTTCATGCAGTGCTGCGGGCTGGTACATCGCCGGCGAGTACGGGTGTCCTATGTAAGTTTCTGTTGCTATACATTGGCGACCGGGAGCTGAAAATCCTGTTCGTGTCTGCCTGATGCATGTCGCCTCTATCAGATGCTTTTTAATCCCTGTGCTGAACCAACCAGACAGGCAGTCATTGGTACCACATGTTTTCCAGGCACCTGAGGTCTGGGAGCTCCGGAGATGTCTGTGGAGATGTTTTTCTCTATCTTGTGTGCCCTGTTACTTTGATAAGGCTGGAAATAACTTGCAGGGGGGATTGAAGGGGGAAGTCTGTTGTCTCAGATCTGGATCAGGTCAAACCAGTTGATAGCCTCCTTTGCCTGGAGTAGCCCTGATTGCATGTTTTAATTATGGCATTGGGAAAAATCTTTCCTATGGAGAAATACCGTGGGGTTTGTCAAATGAAAGATAGCCACAGAGGCTAATGTTGAATCCTGTTTTCAACAGCTTCAGAAAAATAGTAGATGATAATCATTCGATGGATGACACAGCTGTTGCAGTAACGCCAGCATTCACAACAGCTTTATCGTCTTGTGACTGCTTCACTGAAATAACCCTAATTTCATGGACCTGCTATGTTTGTGCAAAATGGCTGTCTTAATGTTAAATTCTATAAGGCAAGCTCACATAGATACTGAAGTATCGCTCCTTGAAATGATAGGATGCTAATTGAAATATGCTGTGCAGTATGCTAGCCGCTGAGCTCTGAGGAAGCACTTGCTTTATTTTCATACTCCGCGTGCGTGCAGCCACTTTATTTTCAGGGAGTGATGTGGAGGAGAACCGGAGGTTTGTGCAGGCTAGCCAAACTGCAGTGCTGAATAGCTTAGTACTGGTTTGAGATTTCTGGCTGCAAAACAAACAGAACAATGACAAAGAAAGCCAATCAGTACTTAAGGGTATAATGTGAAGAAGCCTTTGACCTTGGCAAATTAGCCAGCATAAGAGAGATAGGTGAGTCTTCCAGGACAAGCAAGGTCAAAATCTGATATGATCTGAAAGACAAAGTTGGAAACTTGGGGGTGAGAACGTGGGGGAGGGATAACTAACCTTCTACCAAATCCTAAAGTTAATAGTCAATTTTATTAAATAAGCAAAAGCCCCTCTAATCTCAAGCTTTCTGTACCCATGATACATTGGGTGCCATTCCCCCTTTGAATGCAACAGTTGACAGCAGTCAGTGTGGTAGTGAGGAGCCAGGTAAGGCTCTTAAAGATGACATCTGCAGGGACAGATGGGGTTTTTCCAATGAAAAATGAATTGCTTTTTAATAAGATTTGGGAATAATTGCTATAAACTTTTTAGAGTATGGAATTATCCACATAAATAAACCTTTAGTTAAGAATAAAGGTCACTTAAAATTAGAAATTCATATTTTTATAGAATAATGAAGACTGAACTGTATATTTCTGTTTGTTTATTCTCATATGGGGAATCAGAAGAAATCTCTGGTTATATATGCCTACTGAATGTAGGAATTCTGAAACAAGGTCTCAAGCAAGGCAACACGTTTTTGTCCTTTTCCTTACACTGAACATGTCTATAGGTAGAAAAAGAGATAATATAATCTGTGTTTTGGGAAGTCTTGATTGAAGAACATGGAGATTTTGTTCATCTGCTAATTCTTAAACTTTTTTAAGAATTGTAGTTTGGTTAAGGAAATGCAAAGTATATAACACAGTATATTTTAAATCTAAGATAAGTCCGTATATCTTGGTCACTAGAGATCAATTTTCCTTTATCACTTGGAAACCCTCACCTGTAACAGACCTGCTGCTGTTTAACCTCTCTTCTTTGGCACTTTAATCTATGATCTGCAGTTTTCTTTATACAAGGCCCACTCACAGGTATAGGGGTGTCAAATCTGAAACACATTCATTTCCTTGGAGGAAAAAAACTCATTGCACCTGTGTGTGTGTGTGTGTCCATAAGATCACTAATATGCCTGCAAAATAAATGACAGTGGGCAAGCTGCTCACAGAATACCAAGGATGACACCAAAGCATAGGGCAGCTTAACCCCACTTCCCACGCCTGGCCATGTACTACCAGTGGTTGAGTCATGTCACAGGTGGACTGTCCTGGTGACCTTTCTTGAAACTGTTGCCAATTTGGGGAAATGATGAATCAGATCATACCAGTACTAAAGTCCAACATTTATATACATACATAGGTATCTAGTAGATATAGTTATATTCAAGACATATGTATTAGATGTAATCTGTAAATCAGTTGACATATATGTATGTATATCCAAGTCTTACACTAATCCTTAAGCCTTTTTTCTTTTTAGTAAGTATGACAGCTTTCTGAAGGTTTCCTCCTACTCTAACATTGTCTCTAAGAAAGAATATGAAAGTTATGTGGGCTTCAAAGAAAGTTATAGGCACATGCCATAATTCTTACTTCTCACCTCTCATAGCTGTTGCTTTTATTAGCCTTCCTCCCCTCACTGTTTAATGTTGCCTTCACATTCAAAAATTGTTCTGTGAGCAGCAGGCCCTTGCTGTAGGCTGGAGCTCTTGTCTTTCTCCATAAGATTCAGTGCATAAGCCTCTGCTTTTGACATCATTTCTTTTGAAGTTCTGGTCTTCATTATTTTGTTTACGCCTAGCAATCATTCTTTTAGAACCCAGCTTTATGTCTCAGAATTAATTCCTGTGTTTACCCAAAATGTCTATTTTATTAAATGGCATTAAAATCTGTCAGCTGAATAAATACTTTTCAACTTAAAAGGATATATAAACAAGGTAAGCTCTGTGCGCATTCCTCCAAACCACTTCTGAAATATTGACGTTGGTATGCTTCGCGAACAGAGATTGAGACTTTCTGTGCGAGTGGATTATGTCACAGTTGTACGTGCAGAAAAGCGGGTGTGGAGATGGTGGGGGTTGAGCCAAGGAATCTTCTCCAAGTGAACAAGCCTGTGTTAGCACCCATATCAAGAAGTCAGACCTTGTGTGGCTCGCTTGGTTAATCCTCTGCCTGCAGCACCGGCATCCCATATGGGCGCCGGGTTCTAGTCCCGGTGGCTCCTCTTCCAGTCCAGCTCTCTGCTGTGGCCTGGGAGTGCAGTGGAGGATGGCCCAAGTGCTTGGGCGCCTGCACCCGCATGGGAGACCAGGAAGAAGCACCTGGCTCCTGGCTTCGGATCAGCATGGTGCGCTGGTTGCAGCGGCCATTGAGGGGTGAACCAACGGCAAAGGAAGACCTTTCTCTCTGTCTCTATCTCTCACTGTCCACTCTGCCTGTCAAAAAAAAAGTAATTATGGGGCCATCACTGTGGCATGGCAGGTAAAGCTGTCACCTTTGGTGCTGGCATCCCATATAGTACTGGTTCAAGTCTTGTCTGCTCCACTTCCGATCCCGCTCCCTGCTAATGTGCCTGGGAAAGCAGTGGAAGATGGCCCAAGTCCTTGGGCTCCTGCACCTACGTGAGAGACCTGGAAGAGGCTTCTGGCTCCTGGCTTTAAATTGGCTCAGTTTGGCCATTGCAGCCATCTGGGGGAGTGAACCAGAAAATGGAAGACCCCTCTTTCTCTCTGCCTCTGCCTCTGTGTAGCTCTGTCTTTCAAATAAATATTTTTTAAAAATGTAGTTATAACTGTGGTTTGCTCATTCTCATGGCTGCATAGTATTCCATTATGTGATTATGCCATGGTGTCATTATGTATTCTGATGAGCATTCAGCTTCTAGTTTAGGGCTATCAAGTGCTGTCTTAAATCTTTGTGTCATGCCCTATTGTGAATGTTTATGTTGAAGATATATCTAGGAACTGAACTGCCAAGTCCCAAGGTATACATTAATTCAGGTTAAACAGAGACTGGTAAAAACTTTCTGAAGCATGTAATCCATTTGAACTCCCACGCACAGTGCCTCATTTACATTTGGTGTTTACATTTTAGCCAGGCAGGCCAGTAAACAGAAGCATCCCATTATAGCTTCGCTTTGTATTTCTCTGGTGACAGTAAAGCCAAGCAAGTTTTCCTATATTTTTCGACCTTTCGGATGCAAAGTACCTGTTAGGTCTCTTTTTCTTCTTTCTCCTCTTCCTCGCCCCCTTCTCCTCCTCCTCCTCTTCTTCTAAAAATGATTTACTTATTTACTTGAAAAGCTGAGTGAGTGAGTGAGTGTGTGTGTGTGTGTGTGTGTGTGTGTGTGTGTGTGAGAAAGTCTTCCATTTGCTGGTTTATTCCTCCAAATGCTGCATTGGCTAGGGATGGGCCAGGCTGAAGCCAGAAGCTGGGAGCTTCATCTGGGTCTCCCACGTGGGTTTGGGGCCCAAGGACTTGGGCCATCCTCCACTGTTATCCCGGGTACATTAGCAGGGAGCTGCATGGGAAATGAAGCAGCCTGGACTCAAACTGGGGCCCATGTGGGATGCGGGCACTGTAGTGCCTTTACCTGCTAAGCCACAGCGCTGGGCTGCCGCCACCTTTTTTTTTCTCCAGAATTCTTGTTTCTGTTATCTACCTTTTGAGCATTTTTGTTCAAAAAGAAGTGAGAAAGGGAAAAGCAGCTGGTGATTAGCATAATAAAATGACCAAAGGCAGTGATATGTTTAGGGAGAGAACTAGAATGTGGAATCAGACTTAACCTGGAGTTGAAGCTATGTGTTATTGATTGTGTGATAGTGAGGAGTTCCTTCTCTTCATGAGTCTCAAATTTCATATTTACAATGAAGATGATAGTAAAACTTCAAAAGTTTGAGTTAAACTGAAATAATGTTTGTTAACACCTATGTATTGCCTGGAACACAGTTGTTCAACATCAGCAGGTGCTGTGGTCAGAGAGGAAGTACGTTATAGAGAAGAGCCAGGATGGATGGGAAGAAGACGGGTGATCATTGCTCTTTGCTTGATAGCTACCCACATTAGTTAATTAACACGAATGCTCTTAAAAGGCCTTGATAAACGAGTTACGTGGTGAATAGTGAGTGACCTAGTCCATATACCTGGACCTTCCAGGGTCTGCACCAGCAGGAAGTTGGACAACGAGCCAGAGCCAGG